CAAGACCATGTTGTACATATCTGAGTTAGTAAAGCGGGGCGCATCGCGCTAAGTCCACCAAGGTGTCCTGTCTCGCTCGGAACTTAACACGTGCGTGCGGTGCCGCCTGCCCAGGCGGCATGCTTTCTGAGGGAGGATACAAATCCGGGAGGCGACATCACACCGGACTCCAATTTTTGGTATTTCAAAAAGAAGGGCCGTAGTGCGTTCGCAATTGCGTTAAAAAACATGTTTTACGATTGCCGTTATTAAATGTTATAGAAATGTCGTCTACCAAGCTTCTAAATTTCATGATTTTTGACGTCACAAATCAAAAGAAGCAAGGTGAGAATTAAGCGGGAGAGAAAAACGCCAAAAATAAAAAGACGCGAGCTCGGGCGAGTGGCATTTATTTATTTAACATTTCTTTTTTGCAATGCAGTATTTTTTTGCGAGTCTATGACTAGAACGTACATCGTTTCCGACAATAAAAAATACCACCCTTGGGGTGTCAGTGCCTTTTTAAGGCGGATAATCCACACGTGCCCCAGCCGAAACGTTATGTCGCGGTCATTTTTTGTGCGTTTGATATCCCCGGCCACGCACACTGGATGCTGCGTGATTCTGGGCACTTTTGTTTCTGTGCGTGATGGTGTTGGCCGGTGGCAGAAAGAGCGCAAAGACGACGATCGCCGAGACCATGCACTTTTGGCCCTGCTCGATTGGTTCCCGCCGGATCGTATAGCGTCATGTGCGGTCGGAGGCCGGTTAACACAGCCTCGTTCTCTTATCCGTTGCGTTACGTTACGAAATCTATGCGTACGAGCCACCGGGACATCCGTGCTTCATATTAGGCCTGGCCACCAATTCGTAGAGGTAGCCTGGCACCCTACATTCGAAACACGAATGTTTCGGTGACCTGTTCATAACGTAAGAAAACGTAGTTGTGTGAACCAGCCTTTAAAAGGGTACTCCGGCGTTTTCTTTTTGCGGAACGCAAGTTCGTCTGCTTTTCTTTTTTTCCATGGGTTGCGGTGACGTCGGAATGCCGAGCTTTGGCTCTGATTGAAGGACAGTGGGTAGACCTCAAAGCAAGCTGCCTTGAGGTCTACCCGCTGTCCTTCAATTACATCTAATAGAGCTCGGCGTTCTGGGGTCATCACGTAGTACAACTAAAGCCCCTCGATATGTTTTCGTTTGTCTTTGCAAGTAGCGCCAAATGCGCGAGCGCACGTGGCCCAGGTCTCGAGCGGCCCTTGGAAGCAAATGGCGGCGCAGCACTGAAATGAGCGGCCCTTGGAAGCGAATGGCGGCGGAGCACCCGCTCGTGGCACGTGTCTTGCGCATTTCCACAACAATGGTTGGCGGTACTTGTGAAAACACCTTTATCAAGGGGCTTTAAGTACAACACCTGCAAAAGAAGCAGACGAACTTGCGCTTTGTATTGTCGCCGATTTGCCGGAAGATTTGCTAAACAATATTTTTTTTTCGAAATTGTTTGAATTTACAATTTTTGTCCTCACCGTGTACTTCAAAGTGAAAGTTTCTATGGGCAACAGTGAAACAAGTGACGGCAGGAAAATGCAGGGTTTGACTCTTTGGATTGTGGACGTTGCTCCCAACTGATTACAAGCCTTTTCACAATGTCAAATGAATGTTTTGGAAGCTCGCTCCAGCACCCACGCAGCAGCACGAAACGAAGGGTCGATATAGTGTACTGTTAGAACCCCCCCTCGACCTGCAAACCTGCCTTCATTCCCCTGACATGACGGCACTGAATAGCGCCAATATACTTGATAGTTGGTTTTGGAATCATTTTCACCTGCCATTTTTGCAATAACTATTCTGACCTTCACGATACTAAATAGCACACCCGAAAGGGTAAAGGCCAGTGTTTCCAAAGACATCGTTAATTGGGGTAGCTCAAAAAATCGCCGCAAAACCCCTTTAATGTGTTGTTTGTTGTTTATTCTTATTTTCAGTGACCCACCAACAGCTTGACGCCTCCTTAGTGGTGCACTTATTCCTTCAGACGCTAAACAGGATAAAAGCGAAACGTTAGGAAAAAACAATAGCCTCAACACACTGTCGAAATTTACGCTTTTCATCAAATATATCAAGGCTAGCATTCGCACAAATCTGTTCTAAATGGTTATAAGTCAGTTGTAGGCTTGTCATGGGTGCAGCATGGTAAAAGTCGATGGTATAAAAAAAATGAAACAGAGCATGATGTATACATCTATTTTTTTTTCTTGGGGGGGGGGGAGCGGGGGGGGGGAGGGGAGGGGGAGAGGGGAACTGAAATGTGCGAGTAAAAGTGTGGCTAACAGTTGGAGGGGCGAAAAGGAAACGACAGCAGCGCCAGTGTTTGCGATGAAAGCGCCATGTTGATATCGGTTGACTTTGAATCGGTGAAAAGGATTTATTGATTGACTGAAAACGTGTATTTTTATATTAGAAATCATGTCTGCATCCGACGTTTTTTGTTATGGCTCGTGGGTGAACATTTTGTGTCTTTGTTTCCTCTCTAGCTATTTAATGCATTCGGCGGGAGTTGGTACCACGAGGGCGCCGCAGTATTTTGTGCCCCAGTAGACTTCCGGTGGTGTATGTATATGCTCTTCAGACACGTGCAGTAATCGGGTAAGAAGGTTTTTCTTCGGTGGAGTACCTGTCATAGGTTTGTAAGAAACTCTGCGCACTGTAGAAGATGGTGCAAATAACAAATGGGTGTGAGACAAAATGAAAAGAAGAGAAAAACCGGAAGCACGCAGGGGTCCGCCGATAGCGGGCGGCAGCGAACTTGTTTGCAAACAAGCATCGGTGAATAGATAGTTGAGGTTGCAGTCGAATAATAAGAACACAATAAAAAATTCGCATGACATTAGAAGGGTTATGACACGAAAATTAAACGAATAGATTATTTCTGAAATGGAATGTTCGTAGCCTAGGCTACTTAGTATATGCACCAAGTTACGCGATTTTTAGAGCTCTGGTAAGTGCAATAATCAATCTACGAATTTTTATCATTTTCATCTGGCCACCAGGCAACACTATCCAAGTTAGTCACACCATGGTGTTCATAAACCACGTGATCATGAACGCTCTTTCATTCTAGGCGCCCCCATGATCGCCCAAGCTCTCCTCGCCGCGGTACGATCAAAAGCGCACTCGGCAAACCGAAGGCCATTTTCGCTCTCGCCCCCGGCCCGTTCACCTTCCACCCTGCATGCGCCTGCGAGATATTCCCGGTCGATGGTGACCACGGCGAGTTCGTCCGTAACTGGCCGTCGCTGGAGCTGGTCGCCAGCGGGTCGCAGTCAAAATGAACAGCTTCCAACATCTCTTGATAACAATCACTCTTATCGCTGTTGCGATCAATGTCGAACACTTTGTCAAGGCAAGCGATGCCGTAGACCTATGGCGAATTCCGCTGGGCGTTTTGGAGCGCACCGGGATCAGTTGACCAGATCTGGGCTGGAGCACACGACCCGAACGGGGTCGCGCCGCCTACGGATCCCCAGTGGAACATGACCACTGCTCCGGGATCGGCGGATGCCTTCCCGTCATTCAACTGCCCGGGAATCCCCTTTCCGCGGCCACCGCGGTCGTTTCGAAGACGTTTTCGCAATCGCGGCGCTAACACGTGTTCGACGCACGAGCGGCAGGAATGGCTCAAGCGCTTCTAGTAAAGATTGCCGGAATGCCCGTAGCGCGGCAAATACCTTCTCTTCTTCTTCCTGGAAAACGAACCGGCTGTCGAGCCAAGGGGTAAGCAAGCGGCCATTACGAATTCTTCTGATGTCGAGAAAATCTAGGAGCTCAGCCTGCGACGTGCTTCTTCTTCTTCTGAGGCGAGGTGGGCGAGATCAGGCGAGATGCCCCACGAGAAAGGAAGTCACGTGTGTGCGCCGAAGGCTGGCCCGGCTGGCGTCCGGTATTGAATTCGCCGAAATCGTGGGAGCGACTTTTCTCGGATCCAGATCGAGATCTGGAGCGGGAGCTAATCTAAAACGACCAGTGAAACAGGTCAGTCTCGATCCCGATCGCACAGTGAAATAGGCTCGTTCCAGAAAAGTCGATCCCGGCGCGCTCCAAAACGACCAGTGGAATTCGCCATTAATCTTCATGGACCGCATGCTCGAAACGCGGATGGTAAACGAGGAATCTGAAGCCCGAGACGCCAAGAGAGCCAAGTTTGTGAGTGCGTGCAAGGGGACGCCGTGCGGGAAGCTGGCTACGTCACGAGCCTCCCGCTCCGCCCGGATCCGCCCCTCCGAAGGACCGCTAAGCTACTAATCTACTCCGAGGGACCACTAAACTACTACCCACTAAACTATCGCCACATTTTCAAAACAAATTTAGCAAGGGTATAGGTACAGTGTACATACAATGGGCCCTAGCAGTATTGTTAACTCATATTTTATTTTAGGCGTGTCATAACCTTTTTAAGGCAGGAAAATGAAGAAAACGGGGCTCACTGACATCGACCAAATGTTACGTGCTCAATAACAAGAGAGGCAGAAAATAAAGTCCTACGATGTAAGAACGTGTCCTAGTAAAAACAAACTAACAAACAAAAGACAAGCAGGCAAACAAACAAACAAACAAACGGCCATGGAGTTTCGAAGAAGAGCTAGATGACAACATCAAAACACGTGCGTACTTCTAGTGATGAAAGCCTGGAAGCCCAAGCTCATTGCTTTGGAACTTGCCTCGGCTTCGCGAGTGTTGGTGCAGCAGAGGTGCGCGTCCTTGAGCAGAGTGCACGCGCTTGAAGCCTTTGTTGCGGAACGCGTAATGGAGTTGTCTTTCTCGCTTTTACATGATGAGCATTTATTTTTTATCAAGGTTCTGAGAAAAGTGTAGTTCGTTAGAGGTACTAAGAATAGCCATGGCCGTAGAATGGGCATACTTCACCCACGTTTTAAATGTCTATGTCGACTCGGCGCAATGCACCGACGGAATTCAAAAAGACAATTTCAAGGCTTTCTCGAAGCCTAGTCAGACAGCACACAAGCTCAGTCACATTTCGCCTGGTCGGGAGAGCAGGACGTGGCAACCTTGGTCAAGGCTTCCGACGCCGCAGCCGCAGAATCTCTAACTTTTTTGAAGGCGTTCCTTCCCACCTTGCGGTACGCGTGGGCATAGAAGGACATGAACCACAGGAAGAACATCACGGCCTCCGCAGTCATGATGACCGTGAAGCCTGGGATGGCGTTGTCCTTGTAAAACAGGTACGAACTACTGTGCGCGAACACCACGGTGAACTGGGCCAGCTGCAGCTGCGTCAGGTACCGCTTCCACCAGATGTACTTCTCAAAGGCCGGCCCGAGCGCGGACAGAAAGTAGTATGTGTACATGACCACATGAACTGAGGAGTTGACGACCATTACGAACAAGGTTTGTGCTTGACCGCCGTACGTCAGGTTCATCCACATGTTCCAGGCGACGACCACGTGATGACAGACATGCAGGGCAGAGATCTGCGCGTACTTTTTCCTCAGCACAAAGAAGACGGTGTCCAAGAACTCGAAGAGCCGGAGGACATAGTACCACCAAGACAACCTCACGATGAGCAGACTCACGGAGTCTGTCGCGAAGTCGGGTCCCTGACCGAGAAGACTGTACCGCTTCTCGACGTACCCGTAGCGGACGAGAGACAGCACCAGACACGCGTTGACGAGGACGAGCGTGAGGTTGTAGGCGACCATGACACCGCGAATTTCGAAGGGCTTCTTTTCGCTCATCCACTTTGGTCCCCATTGCTTGACCAGGTAGACGTAGATGACGCAGAGCACGACCAGTGGAACTGGGTTGCCGCACATGGCCCAACCCCGCGTCCGGTGATCCCACTCTGGGAACCAGTGAGTGGCCGGGTCGAACTCCGTTCCCGCCGCCATGGATCCTGCCGCTTGAGCAGGTTGCTCGCTGCAACAACGGCGGACAAGAAGCGAGTTCGTCGCACGACTCTTCCTTTTCGATCCTTTCATTGGATCACTCGAGATATCAATAGACTAGAAACAATACATTTAAATTTGACAAAGATTGACAGGGTACTGTTCCTTATTTTATTAGAGCTACAGGGCCTATCACCTGGTTTGTAGACAAGGAGAAGATACTTTTGAGAAGCAGGAAAGATTCGCAATATGAGCTGGCCCGGCGTTGTGCCAGCCGGGTTGGCACAAAAGCAAGGTGGGGAGACCAGAGCAAGTGAGGTTTTAAAAAAGGGGTTGGATTGAACAGCCACATTACCTATCGCCGCAATGTGGCAGTCGTCTTTAAAGCTTACTATGTCGGAGGCATCTCATGCGGCATTTTACCGATGTGCTAATTCATGGCTTATGTTTGGCCTCACATTGCTCTGTGCCGGGTTCGTGACGTCGCCCTGCTGTGCATATCTTAAGGTACCTCACAGAGCCAGCCGTTTGAGCAGGAGACGACGACATAACGCCAATAGACACGAGGCTTTTTCACTAATTGGTTCAAATATATACCGAATCGAGACTGCATGCATCGTCATAAACTTCAAGGGCGTGCTTTGGTGGGTCTAGGGAGGAGTAGAAAGTCATCGAAGGTTCACGGAGAGTGCGGGTACTTACTTTCTGGCAGGTCGGAGTCTGGCTTCGCCTCGGGAATCCCCGCCCGAATCAAGCGAGCACAGCCGTGCCTTTGGAAGATGCCAGCGCGTCAACTGCGTCACCACCGGTCGCCTTCTTCTTTCTTGCTCTTAGCTCTCTTTATGAACATGCTCGCAGTCCTAAAATTGGTCTTCTTCGTCGTTACTGTCGCGCGATCGTTGGTGTCCGTCAGGAATCTTGTTGAAGTCGCATATGCAGAAACGTTCGGTTTGCTGCAAATCTGATATGATCCTGGGTTAACTATTTTCCTGAACAAACCAGGAAAAACAGCTGTTCCAGTTCAAGCCTGATAAATACTACAAATCCCAGAAGTAAAAAAAAAATATATATATATATATTCCCCAAAAAGTGTTTGTATACGTATTTCTTAGGGCTGAACACTCTTCCGAAGCTACACCAGAACCAGACGACCAAAACTGTTCTTCTTTGAAAGATCGGGTAAAATTTACACTGCCAGACTTCGCACCATTCTAACGCGTGGGAAGCCACGTTTTTAGAAGCAAACGACAACACCGGACTAATAGGTTGCCCTGTTTGTTCTGAAAATCTTCTGTTTCAGAGCTTTCTTTATGTATGAGGAACCACGTGGGACGATCCACCCAATCAATAAGCATTGGTCAGTCTTGCGCGTAGTTTCCTCTAAATCGCTGTCCTCGTAAGGGTGCCGTCGAATGTTACTGGCGGTGATGGCTGATAGTGAGGGTCTTAAATGTATTCAAGATTACGACGCACACGTGAAGAGGAAAGTGTGGTACGGTTCCGCCTGACCAGGTGGCTGCTTCAAAGCAGTTCGTGACCGCTGGACGACAGAGCTGCTACCTCAGTATCAAATCACGGCAGCGACCTTGAACGGTTTTCTTAATTTTTCCTCGTCTCTCGGTATTTATTTACTTCTATTCTTCATGCTAGAGTAGTTCTGATGTCAATCACTGTTCGAGTAGTTCGTGCGCCGGACTCGCTGAAGTTGACGGTGATTTGCTCTGCGGACGTTTAGAAAGCGGGAATTTTACCTGCCCCAAGGGGCGGCTAATGTCTCCGGCGTCGGTAATAAACTTAGCCGATGCAGTACTACTTTTGTACGCCTTTTTACAGCTTATCACGAGGGTTGCGTGTTTTCGGTAAACACCACTAAACCAGGATTTAGAGCAGAATATATTGAAAAAACGTTTCACGGATAGAAATCTTCAGCTCCAGCTTTTCCTTTGTGTGTTGATGAACGCAGCCCCAAGTGAAATGTCTTCGAGACTGCTTCTGCTTTAGAGAACCACGCCCAGTGTCCTTTTCCGTCTCTGATACCGGAATATTTTTCGAAAATTCGGTTCTCCATACTTTTGCAGTTGTGAAGTCTCATGTTGTTGCGCTGCATTTGAGTCCTGGTAATCCGATTTGTATTTTCCCGGCGACAAAACTTGACAAAAAAATTAGCACACCTGTGGGGGAAAAACGATCGGTAACAGGACAGAAGCTTAGCGGACAGAAGCTCAGTGGACAAATGCTCACCGGACAAATGCTCACCAGGGGAAGGCTAGCAACGATATCGAGGACCTGCATGCTATTCTGACTCTAAGTATGTAAACTGTCGTGTTACTTTCGCTGCGGCCCCTGGAACAAAGGCTCCAGTAACCGTGACAATGGGCCGACAACTTCCTCCAGAACTGCGGAATATGCACGAGGCCACACTGTAAGACGAGAGCCGAACGAACAACGCCTGAGCTAGAACCAGAGATTCCAGAAGAGTGTTCAACACGCCCATCCAAGCGTCTGGATGTTAATAAGTGCCTTTAGCAAGATTGGGCACTCGGTGCTGCCACAGAGTTGATGCAAGCAGAGAAATGTAGACCTTCGTGAAGCAGGTTCGACAAAAAACAAAGTGACTTCAGAACCACTTGAAGGTGATTTGCGAAGACTTCCAGCTGTACAGAAATCTTCCAAGACTGCTAGAGGCGGTGTTGGAATGTATCGTTTCTCAAAATAGAAATGAAAACATTTGCGTGCAATCCTATTAACAAACCACGTGTATGTCCAATCAATGGTTTCATCGCTTTCTGCGGTCGCACATGTGCCCCTAGGTTGTGAGGTTGTTACACACGTAAACACTTCCCCCTATAAAGTTTTGTCCGGGTCTGTAAAAAAAAAAAAAAAAAAGGTGAGTTTTTGACTAGCGTTTTTTTGCCCGGTGACTAAAAATTCCGAGCCACTCGGCTGTGGACGCTTGCGCGGCGCCGAATACCACTCAGGCGAAAGCTACTGTGCTTAGAGCGAGCTCCACAGCCCAGTACAGAAAGATGGCAGTGCGCAAGTTATAATTGGAACTATTTTCTTTATTTCAAGTCATAGCGCAGTCGAAGGCTTTAACTCACGGAAAGGCTGGCGCAGTACCCATAAAAAGCACGAGGCATTTCCTGCGCTTGATTGAATTAGCCGGATAGGGCACGTTCAGAAAAATGACTAGTGCTATGACGCTGCAATTCTGACAGTGTTTGTTTGATCTAATCGGCTGCTACATCGCTCTGACTTGAAGTGAAACAGAGTATAGAGCGAGTTGGGCCGTTAATATGTTTGTTAATCGGCAGCCCTCCCGGGAACATTTTAATCTGTAAGACAAAACACATGAACATGCGAGGGAGGAAGGGATAAGCAGACACATTCAGAAGACAGAACGAAATACTGAACGTTGCCAAAGAGGAATCGAACCCAAGACCTGGAAGTTTTTGAGCCCGAGGATCAACCGCTGTGCCACAAAAGAGGAGACTTATATTTTCTATACCTGTAATGCACGCCACGAGAAAGACAAGCGAGTTAAAAAAATTAACGGTGTTACTTATCATGTTTAAACTTCTTACTTCGCGATTCGTTGTTTGGCGTTCTTATCGGCCCATGCCGCCGCCTCATTGACTGCGGAGTCGTAGTAAGATGTTTGGGTCATTCTCCTCTGCTTATTGCACGCGAGTATGCCGGGTCGCGGGACGAGGCGCTCACTGAGTGTGCCGCAGTCTTCAAAATGCCTCACCATAGCCCCCTCCATACTGACAAAGCCTGGCAGATTGCCACGAGACGCGGCCGCCGAAAGTGAAAAAGGCAGAGCGGGAGACAAGAGGCATGTAACGGGCGCCCCGCTGTGGCGAGACGCCAAAACACAGTTGTCTCGAGCGATGGAATGTCCGCTCGTGCTTCTCGCGTTCCTCGGGCTACCGCTTCTTTTCTCGTAGGGTTTGAAAACCATGTTTCGGGTCCTCGCCTCTGCAAAAGCTGTGCGCTGAATACCGGACTCCCCGAGAAATGCTCTGTGCTACCAGATCCTCGCGCTCCAAATCTGCGGCCGGGCATTCCATGGCTCTGTCATCGAACTGCCAGGCTTTCTGAGTATTTATGATGAGCCTAACGCGCCTCCCCCCCCCCCCCCGCCTCACGCGAGGAATGATCGCACAGAAGAGGGAATAACTGAACAAAAGCGGCGACGTGCCGAGTGTGACCTTCTTTGTTTGGGGGAAATGCACAGACATTTGATACTTCGTTAACCACTGCAGGATTCATCTCAATTTAGTCAGAGAAAATAGGGTATTCGTAGAGGAGAGGCAGAGGCCCATTTTTTTATCCTGAGTAAAGATAACCATTTTATTAATGTCATGTTGTTATCTCAAGTGAGCACTTATGAGAGGCAAAATGAGTCTGATCTTGATCCGTTTTTCGGTTTTAAGGTCTTGCGGACTCTGTGAGTTCCGTGTCGAGGCAAAGAAGACTTAGCGAGGGTTTTCTATCGTAACAATCGTACCATTCTCTAAGTTCACGTAGAGCGAAGACTTTATTATAAACTCATTGCGGGTTATGGAAAAAAAAAGAAGTGAAGTTTCCTTTAAACATTATTTTTTCTTTCCCCCTGGTTTCCTTCAGGCGAGGACCGTGCACGTTTAAGTGTTACCTTGGAGTTTGTTTTTGCTTCTCTGCATGTATGCCATTTTTAATAATTTTAGTAAATTGAGAGCCAACACAGTGTCTTAAAGTTGGTGAGCACACGTGGAATAAAACAAAGTTAATGCTTTGAAGAAAACAAAGGTACTACCTTAGACGAAGGCCCTTTGAGAGGAAGATAACAGATTAATTTGGAGACATTAAAGGGAAACTAAAGCGGTTCTGTATTTGACGAAAAACACTTTAATCGCCATCATTCGCGTCCAGGATCACTAATATCAAGATTAAGTTTCAACTTGGTTCATAGAGGCTGCAGAAAATAATTTTCAAAGTTCCTGGAGTATGACGTCATG